GAATAGTCGATAAAATAATGATAATGTAGATGTCCCTTTTTTTACCTCAATAAAAAAACGTCATGAGGTAAATGAAAGATGTGAACAAGATTCATAAGGACCTAAAGACTCCAACTGCAGTTTTGGACCTGTGGATGTGAATGTGTTAAAGCACAAGGAACAAAAATTGAGAAAAAAATATGGTATTTCATGGTGCTGGAAATAAAATGCTGTATGCACCTCAACCAAATCAGAAATGGTTCTATGTTGCTACAAGCCCTGAACTTTAATTGGGGGGGGGGGGTATGTCCTTGGTAATTACTTACTTTTTTTTATTTATGGACCCTGGTCTCTGCCAGTATGTCCTTCCGAGCGTTTTCTTTAGTTTCCTGGGGAATAGTTCCCAGCTTTTGAAATGCTAACTACATATATCAAAATTGTATCTATTAAAAGGGTTAAATATTCGTTAGTTGTTTAGTTTTTTGATTTGCGATGTTATTCACAATGTTAACTGCATTCAGGGGAGAATACAACTTTCTTCTTTTTTTATTGCCGATACTAGCCTGGAGCAGCTCAAGATATTCACAGTTGGGAGGCCTGAGAGGACCATCGAGTTGGGTGGAAGAACAGCACAGCTGGCTCTAGTAATTTAGCCTGGATTGCAGTCGGGCCTCGTTTTTTGCCCAAAAACAGCAGCCCCGTTCGCTTTCAAGGGATTTGAGACACCTCTGCGTCTGTTATGGCACCTGGTTCAAACTTGCTGTATACCGGTGAACAGCACAGCCCACTGTTCTGCACTGCTTTCCCATTTCTGTGGATTTTCATGACTGCCTGCCAGAAAATGTTAAAACTTGCATAATTTAAGGTCTCAAACCTCAATAGTTAACATTTTCCCTGTTGTTTTTGTTTGCTCCCAGAGCAGAATTGCGGCAGCTAGGCAGCATTGCCAAGGTCTTCTGTTGGTCTCTGTGGAATCAAGGTGGATGTTGGTCTGGAATCAGTTATCTGGCTAGCAGAAACAGAAAGTGGTTACTTTGCACATACACAAGCCGAGTATGTTGGTGAATAAACAAAATCTGAAGCCTTTAGTAGACTCAAAAGAGGTTTCTACCTGGCGAAGATCAGCATATCATTGCAGAGTATTTCAAACTATGTGGATAAACCAGGTATGCCAATGCGCGTTAGGAGGCATGCCAGGCATTGTCGTTCATGTTTTACAGGGAGCAACCCAGGGTATCTGGGCTACAACATAAATTTAAATATCTGTCTCTTTTCAGGGATGTACACTGAAAATCGTTTGTAATCTTGTATATTTTGATGATCAGTGTAGGAATTAGAAAAAAATGGTCCGATTGTTGTGTAAGCTAAGACCCAGCAGTGCCATCTCAGGAATTTTCTTTGGAAAATTAAAAGTGAAATGTATGGTATGAGCATTAGGAAGATAGTATAGAAATTACACAACTGAATCATGACTCACTGCTCAGTGTAGGTCAGTTTTCATGACTGGCTGGTCAAACATTAAAAAGATTAAAGTATAAGGTGATTAATCTTACAGGAAAATAGAAACCCTCAAGTGTGTCACTGTTATTTGAGAAGAGTGGTACTAATTAGTAAGTATTTTAGCAACTGCCCTGCATGGGGGAGTGCTACATTTAAAAAAATAAAACACACATTTTCTAACAAACTCATTCTACCCAAAGAGTTTTTCCTTAGGAGAAAACACTTAAAAACAAGTTATGCCAATCTCTGCCAAATGAAAATTTTGAAAATTAAGAGAGGTAAATTAACTGTTATTGTCAAGGGGACTTTTACAGAAGAAAAGGCAAACATTTCTCTGGGGACAACAGCGATGGGGTTGTTAAGATATAGTTTACAGATGCGGCAAAAATTAAATTATAGATTACAGTGTTGCTGAACACGTTCAAGGTGAAAAGCATGGTTCAAACTGATATAACAAGCTGACACATACAGTATATTATCAACATTAAGGTTTAATTACGATTAATTAAAATTGTTCATTTGCGCTCATGACAAATTGCCCTGTAGACTCATGATTTACTATTTAACTCGAGTTTAAACAGCTTTAGGTATACACAATTAACATTAAACACGTGACATGTACACACTGCACCTAAACTACTTACAGTCTCTTTAACACAAAAACAGCTACATTAAACAATAAACATACACAATCAGCTATAACATTACAACCACCTGCCTAATATTGTGTAGGGTCCCCTTTTTGCCGGGGGGCCAAAACAACCCTGACAGTTGGGAGTGGGTTTGATCTGGGCGACGGCAACTCCTTAGCGCAGATCCTAGTTAAGTCCTGTAAGTTGGTGAGGTGGGGCCTCCATGGGGGATCGTGGACTTGGGGTCCCAGCACATCCAGCAGATCTCAATTTTGATTGAGATCTGGGGAATTTGAAGCGCCAGGTCAAACACCTTAAACACGTTGTGTGGCTTCTTTCAACCATTCCTGAACGCATTTTTGCTGCTTTGTGGCCAGGGCCGCTTTATCCTGCTGAAGCAGGCCACTGCCATCAAGGGAATACCGTGTTCCACCATTGGAAAAACAGTGTACAGCCGCTCTGCCAAACAGTTGCTTGGTAATGTCGCGTACGCAATCAGTAGGAAACACCACATGAAAGGCAGGCCCAAGGTTTCCCAGCAGAACCTCACCCATCACATCACACTGCCTCCGCTCGCGCTTTGCCTTCATTCCCATAAGGTGCATCCTGGTGCCATGTGCTTCCCCAAGGTAAAGCACCGCACACTCACCCTGCTCATCCACAAGCATGTAAAAGATAAATGGATTCATCAGACCACAAAACTGTGATGCACTCGTGTTGTTCAAGAACCATCATTAAACTTTTTCAGTAATTGAGCTACAGGATAGACCACCAACGGGCAGCCTTCGCTCGCCCACATGTGCATCATATTGGTATCTCTTGGCCGATGACCCTGTCTCTGGTTCACCGCTTTTCCTTCCTTGGAGCACAAGAGCTGCAGTTTTGGAGATGCTCTGACCCAGTTGTCTAGTGGTCATAATCTCAGTGGTCATAATGTTGTGGCTGATCAGTGTAAGTCCACTATGAGTAAAAGTCTCTCATCTGCCACTTTAATGATTGAAAACCTCATATTACCCCTTTAACTGCGTTACAGTTGGGCTTATAGCCTCAGAACGCCCTCTGCTGACCTCCTCCATACTAGCACAGATACACTCGTACAGTCCCTAATGCTGTCACTCGCACAAATGAAGCTTAGCTGAAGTTCAATCAGGAAGACTGACTATCATCCTGCCCAGTCATTCTCTCTCCCTCTCTTTCTCCCTCTGTTTTCCCCAGCTAAATCGGCTGAGGGTGGGCGTTTCACTCTTTCGGTTAAACATATCATTTCCCTGTGAACCAATCATCATGTTGGTGTCCAAATTTAAAATTGCTCCTCTCTCTGCTGCTGTCAGTTGTCATTCGAGTCCACCCCATTCACCTTCAGTCCTCATCACATTCAGCACCCAGGGGTCCTCCCGCTATGCTTATCAGAAGTCCTTCTCCATGTCACATCCATCCAGATCTTCGGCATTACTCTTCACTCCTTCGCTACTACCAGTGATTCTTTTAGTCTCTGTTTCAATTAATCGGTCCACAGTTTGAAGGGAAAAATGACAAAGTCTGTTGTTTAATGTGTGTGATAATATCATTTGCATTGCAGTTATGGCCAGAGGCTCTGTTGTGTCATGACCCTTCACATTTACAAACAAAAACATTTTAAAAAGACATTTTACAGCTGCTCAAATAACATATTGAATTAGTATAACTACTAAATTAATAACAATTAGTTGAACATTACAGCATAACTGTAAAGTAGAAAGTGTGAAATCTTATTAAGGATCCTGTTCCTTACACATAGTTTAATGTACTACACCTAAAAAGCAAGTAAACATGAAAAAAGTGTCTTAATGGCTAAATTTAAATTTCCATTTTGGTAACATGAGTGCTTTGTAATGACAGTACATTTCAATTTGGTTCTCCAGCTGACTGATCAATCTTATTAAACATTTTCACTTAAATATTTATGCTGGAAGGAAGAAGTGACAATCAGTCCCTCTGCTGTCCTTGGTCTGTTCACTTATTTACCCAACAACAGATACAAAATAATTTCATTTTAGTACTTTTAGTTCAATTTGTCTGAGCAGTCCTTTATTAATTTCTGAAATGAGGCTATAAACAGACACAGAACTACATTGCCACAAAGCTTTTATAACCTCCTTTCAGCCTACATTCAGTCTTGATCCATTAAAATTTGTAATTTTATTCACAGTGTTTAATATTTGCTTCTGAGGTTGCATATCACTGTTTTTAGTCATCACCTGTGTCCACTTTCATTTCAACTATTCATTCTATAAATTTTTTCTCCCTATAATATGTGTTAGGGTAATGTTTAGCTTTATTGCTGTTATGTACATGAAATGAAATGAAGGGTTCAGTATCTTATCCTTTTTTTCATACCAAACCTTGCTTGAACGCATTTTGTCAAATAAGAATGTATTCCTGCATCAGACGTAATTCATGTTTGACACACACTTAACCCATTTTAATGGAATGATGTCACCCCTTGTGGTCAGAGTGACCCTCAATATCACCTGATTACACTTTTGTTTTCTTCTTCCACAGCTTTTAAGGTATTTAGAGTTTTCACAGCATGCAACTTTACATTCACTTGTCTCTTAGACAAAAAGAAAAAAAAATGCTGCAAAATGAACACAGCACAGGTTTTTGAAGTTGAATTGAAGTGGAATTTTGCTTTATGTGATTATATCTCTTGGGTGGATGGATGTGTTCCTTTGGCGTGATGTGTGTGGAAGCCATACTGCCATAACTGAAGCACTTGAACTAATTATTTTTGCCAGAGAAATTCAGCAAAGACATGGCATGAGAAAGGACGTGCAATTACAGTCGGAGCCACACGTAATATTAGTTGTTACACTGATATTAAACTCAGGAATGTTTGTCTTACCATCGTATTTTGCAACAGTCAAGTCTTTATTGATCATTAGTGGTTCCATTGGAGACACCAGACAACAGCAACAAAACAGAGCGGTAGAGAAACACTAACTGTACCAAGAAAACATCCAGAATCAATAAAATGAAATAAAAACAGCTTAAAAAGATTCTCAGTGAAATTTCAAACAGCAGGAGTGGGAGCTGAAGCCCTTATACAGCAGTGAGTTGAGCATGTCATTACAACAAAGATCTATTTCTGGCATGAGCGATTGGCAGAAAAAACTATCACACACATCATAAAGTCTTTACTGTGACACTCTATTGTGGAGGTACAACCATCTAGAAATTCATTTTGCATTCCTTTTCAGCAGCTGTTTTGTATTTGTTTCATCTACTTTCACACTTTATAGAGTATTGACACATTTGCATAATAGTATCTGATGGTGGAGAGGAAGTTGCATTGCTTTTATTGAAGTTCACAGTAATGTTAAAATGAATATATGTGTTTTGAACCTAGTAACAGCTGGCTTTATCCACAGTGTATGTCATTTTGTGTTCAAAGCATATATTTACCAGTATAAGCATATGTTTGTGTTGTTGAATACAACTGTGCCTTGAGTACAATTATAAGTGTTCCTCAAGTGTAACAATAAACCACAAGTAGTGCAACATCTAAAGACGTGTTCATGCAATATGTATAACTGATCCACTTGAGCCACATTGAAACAAATATTGCCAAGATGTTGAAAAACAGATGCAGGACACATCTGTTATTTCTTCAGCTGTCCACCAGATGGGTGGAAAGGAGCACCATGTCTGAAGAGACCCACACAGTAAGACGTGGACTTTGAGGAAGAATAAGGAGGAAGTCATGCTCATGGTAAAGGAGATAACATTATGACATAACACTGAAGTCACATTTGGGTGCTTGGAGGGGGTCTAACACCAGATCTATGTGTGTGAGTGAGTGCCCCAATTGTGGGTCTGTGAGTTTTTCATATTTCTGAACGACTTGATTGATTGTAAATCACACTCTTCTAATACTGGAAGCATTAATGTGCTTCTTCTCTGTGACCATGGACTCAAGGCAAACTGATACAAATCAAAAGAGCATGTCACCATTGTACCAAAAAAATACAAAGGTATTCATTCATGCCAGTGTGCTCGCACTCTCAGTCATACACATACACTCACACACACTCAAGAGGTGAAACCCCACAACCACACTTTGTTCAGCCAAGGCTGGTGATGTTGGAGCGACCACCGGGGGGTCCTACAATGCGGTGGCCAGACCGACGAGGGACGTTGTCATCAGTCTGTGCCCCTGGAACAAAAGTAAAATATTAAATTGATTTACCTAAATATTAGATAACTATTTAATTCAGAACCTTCAGTATACATTAACAGCCGTGTAATGTATCTGGATATTTATGTCCAATTTAACACATTAATGAAATAATTTTAAAACTTATATCAAATATATTGTTTCTGTTACCTGACAGGCTGAAGTTGGACTGGTGAAGATTGCGCATTGGTGGTGGTTGGTGAGAGGTGGGTGAACTTTTGGCCGATGGAGCAGGAGTAATATATTTGGGGGTTGGGACCACGTCATACACAGGGCCGTCATACATCCCACGAGTAACGCCCTCCTTTCCCTTCATCTGGATAGAAAATAGAGACACAAATGCAAAGCTAAGCTATTAGTCATTCCTCAGAAGCAAAATCGCTGTAATTCATCAGTTAGTTATTCTTGGCATGGTAAAACCAGTATATTTATATTGTTATACATTGTTTTCATACCTCTACCTTATAGCTCATGATCAAATGTGAAGCTACATTCTTGCTTCAGTTTTCCTACCATAACGATGCACAACAAAAATTAGAGCTTGGTAAGTGACAGTTGTCTGTTGGCTTTTATGATGATGATGATGATTTTTTTCTTTTGGGTGTCTATAATATCTTTTACCTATTCTGCTTCCTGACTAAATGTTTTAATTGTTAATATGATTCACTTTTTTTGTTTTTTAGGTCCCTTTTTTATAATATTTCTTAATGTCAGACAATGAACACCTCTCTCCATCTTGGTTTGTGGACTGTAAAAACACCAGGGACAACAATGGAAATAAGTCCAGGACGTTATCAGTCAAAGTCTGACATGTTATTTTTATAAATATATTAGAATCTTGCCAATAAACCACAGCAAACCAAATAAAACTGACACTTACCTATCAGTGTGTATTTTTGAAAGTATTTTTGAAGAAGAAATGCAGTTATGTGGAAACTATTACTGGATGTTGTCTGCTTGTCTAATCTTTTAATGGAAAATATTTTTAAATGTCTATATGACTGCAGAAATATCAGTGTACTGTACCTGGTTCCTGAACATAACACGCTGGTAAGCGTGGTCTGGGAAGTGCTTGCGGGGAATAAATCGACCGGTACCCTGCTGAACCTGCAGCTTGCCTTCCTCATAAACCACCTGACCTTGACTCAACACCAGCACTGGACCCCCACGGCACTCCAGACCCTCAAATATGTTGTATTCTGAAGCCTGTGTGCAGAAGGATAACACACATACAAGACAAAGAATGTGGAAAAAAGAGGGATTACACGGATTGACAAGGGACAGCTCTTTCATCCCCCCCACCATTTAGAACACTGATACCCTACACTGCCTCGGCCCACTGTGCTATTTCAGCAAGTATTGTATCAGGAGGCTTAATACATGCAGTAAAATTGATGGGGTATGCAGTTGAGAAGATGGGGGATGAATAAGTGAGAGGCTTGGGGCATATAGGAGGAGCGACAGTGTGAATACAGGGGGATGGGTAGAAAGATGGTAGCACAGAATGGTTGAGGGGTGAAGGGGGATTATAACCTAAATCCGGCACCGGTCTGGATTAGGGTCTTTGAGAGTGGCAGAGCAGACTGAATGCATTACCCACTGTGTAATATCTTCACTGTGTTGTGTCACTTTGCTCATGGCAAATTTGCACCTCTAAGGCCATTCTGCTGCATGCAGTCTTGAGATCTAAAAGGTTAGTTTATGTAAATTAAAAAAAAAAACACAATATTTTTTTACTTACTTCTGAGGGCATCTGGCCATGCAGATAGCTATGACTTTATTTGTCTAGGTTTTGAAATTTGAAATGTGATTCACTAAGATTTCTAATGCCATCCCAATATGAATAAGGAGAACTGAGTTTTGTTCTCGGCAATCAAAGGATTAAAACCACAGTCCTCATTGTGAAAAGCTTACACTGGAACTACTCTCTTCTGTGGACATTTCATTGTCATTGTAAATGTAATATTGGTATGAGTATTTCATTCACCCCCTTAATTATTTTACAGTGGCAGTAGAAATTTTTTTTTTTTTTAAAAGCCTAAAACCTAGCTGCATGTCTAGATACCACTTGAAATAAATAAGAAATTTGTTTTCTATGATCTTTTTGAAACTAACTCTTTCAAGATAAATCCCATACTCAATTGTAAGAGAACTTTCACTTTTGTATAACCTTAATAACCAGTGGTTGTGGATATAATCTCATGCATGTATTGCATTATTCTTTTCTATTATACAACCACACCTATGCAATATGGCATCATACTGTTGACAGTAACGCCAGAGTAGACTGAATATTGTATTGCAACTTAATAAATAAGTACATTTCAGGTTTCTCTTAACCTCCTGTGATCTTCTCTTTGTTTTCTACCTATTCCACACACTACCATCTCCCATCTGAAACCGTCTCTCCTGCGGCCTTTCTCCTGCCTCCTGTCTTCTATGCATTTCTGCTCCCTCAATTTATGCAGTACTTGAAGATCAGTTTAATTGTCAGAACATCAGATGAATTACCTTGTTACTCCTTGTATTCTATTCAACAATTTATCCATCCTTTTCTTTTTCCTTTCCTTCTCCCTTTCTATTTTCTTTTGCTCTCACCGACTGCTGGTTTTTGGCACTGATGGTTTTGACGCTGTTAGGGTCCCAGATTACAATGTCAGCATCAGAGCCCACTGCTATCCGGCCTTTGCGTGGGTATAGGTTGAAGATTTTAGCAGCGTTGGTAGATGTGACTGCCACAAACTGGTTTTCATCCATCTTCCCCATGGCCTAAGAGACAAAGAAGTGGTTGTTAGGAGAGGTAGACTAAACTCAAGCTTCACAAAAGAAACACAAACACGTCCTCATTTGCTCACCACGGCCTTGTCCCAGACGAAACCCATTCTCTCTTCTACTCCATTTGTTCCCTCTGGGATCAGGGTGAAGTCATCTTTACCAATTGCTTTCTGGGAAGTGCTGTACGTGCAGTGAGCGCTGCCTACCACCTGGAGGTCCCCACTGTATCAAGCCAACAACATAAACACAAAATCAACAGAATACCCTTACACTTCAGTCATTCACCTGTCAAATGTTATATTTTTCCCTGCTGAGATTTGAAATGCCTTGACCTCTTGAATACAGGCAGCTCAATCTTTGTGAGCACATGGCCAGTTACAGGACGTTTGGCTGCAAAAATCAGTTAAAGACAATATTCACATTCAGACACAAAGACAGATATTTACACGATGAGCCACCAGGTGTCCTCATGGAGCATGAGAGTTAAAGTACAAGTCATGGAGTGGCCAGGGGCAGAAAAACCAGACAGCTAAACCAGACTGCTGAACCAGTCAGAATGGTGCAACGCAGCTGCAACATCCACTGCATTGTCAAAAAGCAATCAACGTATATACTCACTTTACCCCTGAATATACAAGAGGATAAATTTGACAGTTAAAAACCTATAATAAGCATAATTTCTCATCTAAGGTTTGTTTAATTATAGTGATTACTTTATGATAGTGAGCTATGGGATCATCGACCCAATGCCATGACAGTGCTTATTATGGAAATAATGGGCGTCACTGAAATGCGAGGTAAAGTGCCGTAAAGTGCCGTTCTTTTTGTTCGTCTCTGAAAAAGAGCCTAAAAATACACCCTGTCGCTTCAGCAGAAGCTCAAATGTAAAAGCAGTATCACACCACCGGTGTGACAACACAGACCCACCCTGAGAAGCTGGAGTTGCAGATGAAGGGTGAAAGAGGAGTGAGGAGGAGGAGGAGGAAGAGGAGGAAGGCAGTTGGTAGTCAAGGCAACAGATGATGAAGGATTCTAGTTCTTGTTCTATTTATGGAATCGGGGACAGTCAAAAGTGTAAAGCAGGATGTTCTGTGCATTGTGTATTTCTGTGTGTGTGTGTTTGAAGTGAGAACTGAGGTGGGTGTGGTCTGGGGCACTTTATCCCTCCTTATGCTCATGAATTACAACTTAACTTGCCATCATGCATGTATTCTACCTTTATACATTAATAAAGATATTCATATACTTTATACAAACATTCAAACCAGTCCTTTATCCATTATTTAGTCTTTCATTCTCCTCATTCACCTTCACCTTCTC